CCTTGGGACACAGAAAAAACAGTGCTCAAAGGGCAATTTATACCAATAAACTCACATCCTTTTTAGAAGAAAGAATCCAAATCAACCTCTTAAGCCAACATCTCCAACAATTAGAAAAGGAGCAACAAAATAGGTCTTCTGCCACCAGAATCAACAAGACATAAAGTTGGTTCTTTGAAAGGATTAATAAAATTGACATACCATTGGCAAATCTAACCAAACACACAAAAAAGGAGAAGATACAAATAACACAAATAAATGATATGGGTGATATCACAACAGAACCAACAGAAATAAAAGGGGTAATAACACAATACTATGAAGAATTGTAGTCCAACAAATTTGAAATCCTAGAAGAAACAGACAAATTTCTAGGAACACACGACCTACCTAAACTAACACTGACTGAAGTAGAAAACTTGAACAGGTCTATAACAAGAGAAAAAATTGATCAAGTCATTTAAAAACACTCAACTAGAAAAGTCTAGGCCCAGATTGTTTTACTGGTGAATTCTATCAAACATTCAGAAAGGAGCTGACACTACTTCTACTCGAACTATTCCATAATATAGAAAAGGATGGAAAAGTTCCAAATTCATTTTTGGAGTGTTAAGTCTGATATCAAAATCAGGCAAAGACATCACTAAAAAGAATATTATACACAAAATTCCCTCATGAACAGAGATGCAAAAATTCTTAACAAAATCCTAGCCAATAGCATCCAGCAAGATGTCCAAAAAAAGTCATCATAACCAAGCAGGATTCTTATCAAGTATGTAAGGATGGTTCAATATTAGAAAAATAATCAAAGCAACCTACTACATAAATAAATAATAAAAAAAAAATCACACGATCATTTGAGTCAGAAAAGGCATTTGACAAAATCCAACACTCATTCCTGATAAAAGCACTAAAAAATATGGATAGAAGGGATAGAAGGGAAACTCCTCAACATAATTAAGGACATTTATACAAAACCAACAGCCACATCACTCTCAAGGGTGAGAAACTGAAGTCATTTCCCTTGTGAACAAGAATCAGATGAGAATGCCCTTTATCACCACTTTTATTGAACATTGTGCTGGAAATCATAGCCAGAGCAATAAGGCAAGATATTAAAGACATCCAAAATGGCAAAGAAGAAATAAAGCTCTCCCTACTTATAGATGATATGATTCTATACTTAGAAAATCTCAAAGATTCAGCAAGCAAATTATTGGAACTCACTGATAGATTTGGCAAAATGGCAGGATACAAGATCAACATAAAAAAAAAAAAATCAGTTGGATGGATTCCTTTACACTAATAGAGAAAGCTCTTAAAAGGAAATCAGGAAGACAATACCATGTACAATAGCCTCTCAAAAGATGAAATACTTGGGAACAAATCTAACCAGAGAAATAAAAGACCTACACAAAGAAAACTACAAAACACTAGTACAATAAAGCAAAAGAGATATGCAGAAAGGGAGGAATGTGCCATGCTGTGGGTAATAATACTTAACATAGTGAAATGTCAACACGAACAAAAGCAGACTATAGTTATAATGCAATCCCAATCCAGATTCCAACATCATTCTTTAAAGAGATGGAAAAACTAATCACTAACTTTATATGGAAAGGAAAGAGGCCCTGGATAAGCAAAGCATTATTTAAAAAGAACAAAGTAGGAGAGCTCTCACTTTCCGATCTCAGAACCTACTACACAAACACAGTAGTCAAAACAGCTTGGTTACAACAAAAGATACATAGATCATTGGACTGAATTCAGAACCCAGAAGAAAATCTATCCACCTATGGTCAGATGATCTTCAACAAAAAGCCAAAAGCATTAAATGGGGAAGAGATAAGTCTCTTAAAAAAATGGTACTGGCAAAACTGGAAGTTCATCTTAAGAAAAATGAAACAGACCCACATCTCACACCATATACAAAAATGAACTCAATATGGATTAAAGACCTGAATGGAAAGCTGAGAATGATACAGATTATCACTGAAAAGACAGGGACAAACTTAGGGGCTCTGATACATGGCATAAATATACTATCAAACAAATGAAAACATGTAAGTAGAAGACAAAACAGGTGACCTCTTAAGAATTAGACACTTATGTGCATCAAAGGAATTTACCAAAAGAGGAAAAACAGAATCCATAGAATGAGAAAAAAATGTTAGGCATCGACATTATCAGACAAAGGATTATTCTCCAAAATGTATATAACACTTCAATGCCCCAACAAGAAGACAAATAATCCGATTTGAAAATGGGCAGAGAACATAAGTAGACATTTCACCAAAGAAGACATTCAGACGGTCAACAAACATATGAAGAAATGCTCAGGATCATCAGCCACTGGAGAGATGCAAATCAAAACAATGAGATATCATCTTACTCCAGTATTTAGCAAAGTTAAAGGAAAAACAGAAAATAACAAAAGGTGGCCAGGATGTAGAGCGACTGGGACCCTCTACTTGGTATATATCCTTAAAATGTAAGAGCCGTGACACCAATTGACAAATGCACACCCACATTCACTGCAGCACTGTTCACAATAGCAAAACGATGGAGACAGCCTAAATGCCCATCAACAGAAGAATGGTTAAACTTTGGTACATACACTCATTGGAATACTACATATTGAAGAATAAAGATGAAACACTTCACAACATGGATGAACCTGGAGGACACTAAGCTAAGGGAAATTAGTCAATCACAAAAGGACAAGTATTGTATTAGACCACTGTTGTCTATTGTGTAGGACAGCATGGATCAACAGTTGGTCAGAATTTATGATGTCAAATTCTAGGTAATATCAGCCATTGATTAGGGCAACAAGGAGTCCCTGAGTATAAAAAACGTTGATGGTCCAAGTCCATTCAGAGGCATCTCAGAAGAAAGGCTTAGCGATCTACTTCCCCAAACTCCATTGTCAGAGCACAGTTCTACTCTGACACATGGGACTGTGGTTAGTAGGAGACAACTCAACAGCAATAGGATGGCTAGGTAAGCAAACCAAATAGGTCCTATCTGGAACTGACTGGCAAGTCCTAGTCACCTAAGAAAAATGTGGAGGTCATGTAGGGTGCACCCATCCCACTGTAGCCACCCATCTCCAACCCGTTCCATGTGGCACTAATTAAATTCTTCTTACAAAAGCATTTGAGGGCAAGTGTTTCATAAAGAAGACCTAGTGGCACGGTGGTTAAAATGCTCAACTGCTACCCAAAAGGTCAGTGGTTCGAATCCACCAGCTCTGTGAAAGAAAGATGTGGCAGTCTGTTTCTGTAAAGATGACAGCCTTGGTAACCCTGTGGGGGCAGTTCTACCCCATCCTATAGGGTTCCTGTGAATCAGAATCGACTCGACTCGATGCCAATGGACTATTTTAGGCTTGATCATGGCTTAGGTTAATGCTGGTCTGCACAGCTCAAAAGGGTGGAGAGGGAAGGAAACCTTGAAAGCATCCTAGGCATCTGTAGGTGGCACACATAGTTAAGCGCTCAACTACTAACCAAAAGGTTGGTTGGTGGCTTAAACCCACCCAGAACTGCCTCGGAAGAAAGGTCTGGCAATCTACTTTCGATACAACCAGTTATTGAAAACCCCATAAAGCACAGCTTTACTCTGATGCACATGGGGTTACCATAAGTCAGGGTCAAGTCGTTTTGGTTAGTGCTGTGTCAGTGGGTACTTTGCAAAACCCTTTCGGGGCTCATCAAGTCCCACTTTGGAGGCAGTCCTGGTTAATTCCATAAAGAACCAAGAGACCAGAAATCAAAACTGACAGGGGAAGCCTTGGACACCCATTTGTTGATGTCTGAAGCTTAGAGACCACCCCTGAAGCTGTGTGCTCGGCCTGTTGTTGTGTTGTTTAGTGCCATCGAGTCAGTTCTGACCCATAGCGACCATGTATAGGGTTTCCAAGGAGTAGCTGGTGAGTTTGAAGTACTAACCTTGCAGTTCAAACGGCTTTGCAGTCTGGCGCATTAACCCATAGTGCCACATCAGGACTCTGTGCTCGGCCTAGACAGCCTGAAATGTTGGTGATTGGTTTCTGCTTTATGGCACTTCATGCCAGCTGCCCTTGCTCCATGAGAGAAATTCCAAAAGTCAGGCCAGAACTACCCCCTGAAACTTCCTGACCTTGCAATAAACTGGATACCCTCAGAGGAGAAGATCCAAGTCTCAGGAACTCCCTTTCCAGAGACAGAGGTAGCAGTTCCGAAGGCCTATCCCCAAAGCCTTCCCTGTCTGGCTAATGGATGAGGCTTTCTGAGCATTCCTGGGGGAACCCTAAAACTGATTGGGAAGTGCAGACTCACCTTCAGTGTGAGCTGGGATATGGAAGCTCATTCTCAGGGTGGTAGAGATCAGAGGTCAGCTAGGCAGAAGTCATCAGGGAAAGAATCCCCAAGGATGAGAATTAATTGGACCATCTCCAAAGACATTCTTATTTGAGAGCATCAAAGGAAGAATTAGTGTGAAAGCCTTATGCAGTGGAACAAACAGGACAAGCTCTCATTCCTCACTGTCGACCCAAGTCCTGACCAGTGCATACAGATGGGATTTGAAATCTGCCTTCAGCCTGGGCTGGAGCACACTCGCTCTAGAAGCTGCCTAGACTAGAAGTGTGGTGGGTCTAGGGACACAAACCTGGCCTCCTCAGACATCATCCACCCAAAACCCTCCCAGAGTACTCTTCTGGTGTCCCCAAGGGTTTAGCTAAGGATCCTAAGGCGGCTGAGGGAACCTGTGTCTGGTCCATCTTCCCACAGGCCAGGACCTCTGGGTTCTCTGGACACAGAAATCTTTGAACAGATTGATCTTAAGACCAACATAGCATCTTTATTAGAACATATCACAGCCTTACTCCTCCAAAAGGAGAAAGTTTGGGTTTTGAGGGCTAACCTCAGAGAAGGACTGACCCAGTCCCCTAAGCTAGGGAGTGATTAGGCCCCAGTCACACAGGTCCAGCCGGAAGCTACTGGAGGTCCTGACCCTCAGAGGTCCTTTCCTCTGGACTGCTGTTCCTTGGTGGTGACAGTGTCTGAGTCCAGATTGTGAACCATGGTATTGAGAATTGCATTCTTGGCTGCCTCCTCACTCACATCTTCCAGCGATGAATCAATTAGGTTCTCAAACAACAAATCCCTGATCAAGTCTTTCTGGAGACTGAGGAAAGCAGTGACTTTAAGACCCCTTCAGTCATGGCCAGCTCTGCATTCCCCACAAGGTGGGCCTTCCCACTCCTGCAGATCTCAGCTAAGCTTCTTCAAGGGCCCAGGATCAGTTCTATCTCCCAGCCTTGACCATAGCTTTCACTTTTCCATGTCTTTCGGTTTCCACCTACCATCATCATTGCTAACATTTAATGAGCACATGCTATGTGCAAGGCATTACGTCAAGTGGACTATGTGGGCTTGATGTGGTGCTAGAGAATAAGTACAGGGCCACAAATCAGTTTGAACCACAAGGTCAGCGGTTCAAACTCACCAGCCATTCCTTATAAACCCTATACAGGGTCACCATGAGTCGGAACTGACTCGATGGCACTTAACAGTAAAAACCATTCTACCAAAAATTTTATGGGAGGTGCAGGCTGGACTATGTGGCTTTATATCTCTGTACTCGGTTTCTTCATCTGTAAATTGGTGGATTAATGATAAAGCCTACCTCCCATGTGGTTTGTATGAGGACAAAGTGAGGTAAAGCATATATAGGACTAGATCTCACACATTTGTTGTTGTGTGCCATCAAGTTGGTTCCGACCCATAGCAATCCTGTATAGGGTTTCCAAGGAGCAGATGGTGAGCTTGAACTGCCGACCTTGCAGTTCAAACGGCTTTGCAGTCTGACGCGTTAACCCACAGTGCCACACCAGGACTCCATGATCTTACACAGAGTACATGCTTATTAAATGTCAGCTATTATTATTACTATATTATCCTTTTTGCAAATGAAGAAACAGAACCTCAGAGGTATTAGGGTAATGGTAGCTCAGGAATAGAAACCTAGGCCTTTTGGCTCCACTTAACCATCATGTTCTCTACTCTGTTGCATCATTCTCTCCTCTCTATACTGGGGCAACTCCTGTTCATACTTCAAAGCCCTACTCGAATGTCACTTCCTCTGTGAAGCCCGCCATAGCTCCCCAAAGCCCCTTCCTTCTTTCTAAAGATTCTGCACATCCCTGTCAGAGCACACTGTTGATAACTGTGTCCCCTCAATGACTTCATCAAGGGTGGAACTCTCTTAGCTCTGACAGTATAAACCCTGGCACAACTCCTAGCACAGAGTTCAAGGAGGGACAGAAGGGGGAAAGAAGAGGAAGACCAGAGCCAGTGACCCCCTTTAGTACAGAACAGAGGGTACTGCAGGACCTCAGGCAATCTCTGTGCCTCACTGTTTCTCTTAGACCCCTGAAAGCACTATGGGCTCTATTGGCCCAAATCCCAAAGATGGTTCTACCAAGCATGACAAGTATCCTGAAGGCACAGAGGCCAGCAGCGTCTGTGAAGGGACTGGAGTGAAATCCAGTTTCTAAGTGTAGCTACTGAGGGAAGGGCCACAATTGTGAATGAACACTGAGTTCTTTAAGAGAACCTGGGAGTTCTGACAGGAAAGGAGAGGTACTCAGAGAGCTGGTTCCCTGCTGGTCTCCTGTGCTCTGGAAGGAGGGAGGGAGGCCAGGGTACTGCTAGAATGCCCCTGGAGGACACCTCCCCAAGTCCAGGAGCATCACCCAGTCCAGACAGGCAGACAGCTGCTTCCTGGTGGCTTAGGATGGGGGTGGGGTACAGAAGAAGACCTGGGAGTCGGCAGTGGCTGAGCTAGAGCAGGCAGACATCAGAGCGAGCCAGGAGGCTGCTATAGCCATGGGGTGACCCCCAGGTGGCTGGATCTTCTTGCAAAGGGGCAGAGGTGCACAGTGACAAGGTCTTGGGGAGCAGGCCCTAGGCTGAATGGAGGTAGACATCAGGCACGCACCTGAACTGCTCTACACTGTCAGTGAGGGGCTGGTTTTGCATTTCCGGCATCAGGATGCAGAGGTACACAGTCAGGACAGCTGAGAAGCAGGAAAAAAAGATGGGCAGGATGGTGGAGCCCTGGTTGATGAGCGTTATGATCAGGGACAGGATGAATCCAACGGCCAAGGTCAAAGACACCAGTCCCAGGCCCGTCGTCCTGCAGGGGGAGCAAGAGCTGTCTTCTGGGAGGCCCCACAGGCCCAGAGGATGCAGTTTCTACCCTTCCCCACTCTGGGCCCAACTTTGTTCTTCATTCATTCAAGATGGGTAATACCTCCTTCTGGGTCTACTACTTAGTGGTGGTGGTGGTGGTGGTCGCGATATTAGGAGTGGGAGAAAGAAGAACCATACTGTATTGTGTGGGTGTCAGAGAGAGGACTTGGGTAGTGCTACCAGGTGACACTGCTGTCATTGCTGAGGGCTCCTGTAGTGAAGGGGGCCCCAAAGACATTCCAGGAGGATGTGTGGGCAGGGCTCTGGAGTCAGACAGCCTGACCTTGAGCAAGTGCTGTCCATTTCTCTGATTTTCGTATCTGCAATAGGATTGGTGATAGCATTTGGGGGATTTTTGTGAGGGTTCAGAGATAATCTGTGTAAAGTGCTTAGCTCAGTGTCTGTCACCAGGCAAGTGCTCAATAAATTTAGCTGCTCCTATCAATGTTGCTAATGACCATCCTGCCTCAGGCCCATGCCACCTCCTCAGGCCCCAGGGCCGCCCTCACCCCACATACCTGAGGACGGTAGGCAGGAGCTCAGCAGTGTAGGTGAAGAGCAGGGTGAATGAGGTGGTCAGAATGAACTCTTCGATCAGGATTGCCAAGATCACCATGAATTTCAACTCTGTGGCCAGTCAACACAGCCACCTGAGTCTGGGCCTGTAATCCCCTCAGAGCAAGTGGTGGAAACCTGTCCCATGGACTCTTCCTTAGTGCCTCCAAGAAGGCATCTGAATAGTCCATTCCCACCACCTTGTCAGTGGACTCAGACTGCCAGAGGCCCAGTCAAGCCTGGAATTAGTTCATCTGCAGTTGAACTGGTCAGCAGTCTGGGAGGTTTCATTGGTACCCCACGAGCCTTACAAACCATCATCCACCAGACTGTGCCCAGCCCCCACAGCTCTGCCAACAATGCTCTCACTTTCCCAAATCCTCAGCCAGCTGCAGCTTCCCCAACCCCACCTCACTTCATTGCCCACTCTCTCCTTGGGCATCCACTTAGCCCCCTGGCCCATTCAGCATATCCTCCCCATGGCCTGTGGGCCAATCTCCTGTTCCTAACCCTCCCCTTCATCCACCTTGGGGTGGACAGGAGGAGCTGAGGCCTACGTAGCTGGAACTGGTGTTAATTTCTCCAGGATACCCAGTTCTAGGTGGCGGTACAAAAATGCTGAAGGAGACAGAAAAGAACTAGTACTTAGGGAACTCCATTCTGCAGGCATGGTGAATCTGGGGCTTGGAGGCTCTGTTCATGGGTCTGGAGATGGATGATTTACAGTTCCTCCCTGACAACCTTTCCTGGACCTTCCCCACTCCCCACACTCCAGCCCTGGGGTGACATCAGAGATCAAGCTGATCTTCTGTGGAGCCACTGGGTGGGTTTGAACCCCCAACCCTTAGGTTAGTATTTGAGTGCAAACTTTGTGCCACCAGGACCTTTGAAGTTAAAGCAGAGGCATTTCCCAAGCAAAGGAGCTACAGATGAGAGACAGGACCTGAGGTAGCAGTTGAATGATTATTTTTGCCATCATCTGTTCACATTTAACCATCATATCTGCTACTGACATATATTTTAACCAGGATGAAGAAGGCTGCCCACGGCCCTGAGCAAGGACGAGTCCTTTGGGCAGCATGCCCATACCTCTCAGGCCATGCTGAGGCAGGCAGCTCCTAGTGAAGGAGCCTGCTCCCAAGGTCCCCCTCTTCAGCATAGGTGGGCTGTGAGTGCAGAAGGCCAGCTCCCAGGCCACTCAGGTTATGGGCCAAGCAGGGTGCAGTCAGGAGAGAGAAAAGAAATGCTGGGCAGGGAAGAGGTTGCTGTACCTTGGAGAAGCAAAATGGCAAACAAGGATATCAGGAAGCCTTGGAGGAGAGTCACAGCCAGTGCCCATTTCCTCCCAATCTGCTCCACGAGTAAGATGCAGCACATCCGGGCAGGCACCTCTATGAGGCTAGAAATGATGCGTCTCCTATAGGGGTTTATGCTAAAAGTCTTCACCTTCAGGCTCAGTGTTAAATAGTTGTAGCTGATGGCAAACCTGGAAGGAAGCCAGGAGAAAGGGAGAAATGGACAGACAGACAGATGCATGCACACACACACACATAGAGCAAAGATGAGCGGCAGATGGGGAAGGTGGCGGTAGTGTGCTGTGTAGTTGGGTCCGACTCATAGAGACCTTGTAGAGGGTTTCTGAGGCTGTAAATCTTTTTGGCAGCAGAAGTCCTCATCTTTCTCCTGCTGTGTGGCTGGTAGTTTTGAACTGCTGACCGAGAGATTAGCAGCCCTATTCGTAACCACTACGTTACCAGAGCCCCTCAGGACGGGGATTGTTGTTGTTGAGAAGTGCCGTGGACTCAGTCCCAACCCATAGTGACCCTGTATACGGTTTCCAAGGAGCAGCGGGTGAGCTTGAACTGCCGACCTTGCAGTTCAAACGGCTTTGCAGTCTGGCTCATTAACTCACAGCGCCACACCAAGATGGGAATATAGCGGGAAAATATGTAGGAGGTCCGAGCAGGCACCTTAAGGCCTCACCCCTTGCCTCCCCTGGTAGCTCGACCACACCTCCATCACTGAGGTTCCTGGCTTGCATGTGTCTGCAGTGCATCCTGGCCAGCCCTGAGAACTTACCACAGGCCGCTTATCATGAAGATCAACTTGCGGAGGTGCCTATTGCTAAAGAAATCCAGGACAGAGGATGTAGTCATCTTCTTATTACATGGCTGCAGCTGAAGGGCAAGCAGACCAACCAGAGATAGCACTAAGACCCCAACCCTGTCTCCCCACAACCTGATCTGTGAGAGTTGCCTACTCCCCACCATCCACCCACCACTGTGCCAGCCAGGGTTCTGGCCTTCTCCTGGAAGGGTTCAATTCTGCTGTTTCCATTCTCAAGCAGTGAACTGGGACACCCCTAGGTCTGAGACCTCGTCCCACTCCAAGCCTGAAGCTTCTTACCTTGTTCAGCAGATTTAAAGGAATGATTCTCTTGTTGATGGAAGCTGCATAGCAAAGCACCTGCTTGGCCTTTTCTACCTTCCCTCTCACCATCAGCCACCGTGGGGACTCGGGGAGAATCCTGTGTGACCCATCCCTTGCTCATATCATCCTTCCAGGATGTTCCCAAGACCCAAGTCAGACCCACCCTAGCCTTGTCTGTGTCCCTCCTGCTCCAGCAGGAGATGACCTAGACACTGGCGGTCTTGAAGACCACCACCACCCTGGAGATTCCTGCACATGTCACTGGCAGTAAGCCCCTCCACTATCCGAGCCACACACAACTCCACATCCCTGCTGTTCTGTCGTGACAGCCTCCTCACCTTCAAAGCCATCTCTCAGAAGACTGTCCTGCTCTAGCTCAGGGGACATTTCCACCTGCCCAGGTATCTGAGAGCACCATCCTACATGCCCTCACAGTTGGGGTTTTCTGGCACCTTCTCTTTAACCCTAATAGTATAGGGAGTGTGTGTGTGTGTGTGTGTGTGTGTGTAAGACCCTAGCTCTGACCCAGGGCCCAGCACCCTGTCTGGGTGAATGGAGGTTGATTAAAAGGTTCCTCCTTGTCCTATCTCCTGTCCTGCTACATCCCCCATTGCCTTTGACTTCAGAATAACTCTAGCCCTGCAGTGTTTTCCAATCCTCCTAGGTTGTCAGAGTCTACACACATTAACATGTACCAACACTTATCATATGCTAGAAACTATGCTTGGTACCCTCATCTAATCAAGGGGGCTTCAACAAATTTGTGGAAAAAAAAAAGAATGAAAATATATTGGAATTTTTCCCTGAGTTTTTGAAACACCTTCATACAGTCTTCATCCCCAACCTTGGACCTTGCAATATTATCCCCATTTGATTCCCAACCTCAGGGTGCAAGGACTTGCACAAGGTCACATAGGCAGAATGGATATGAGCCTAGGTCCCCTGATAAGGCACCCTTACAAAATTCTGTCATTAGTCCCTGCTGATTTCACATGCTGCCACCCCTGCCTGGCTTTTACATTCAACAAACCACAATTTAGTTTCATTTCAATAATTGCAATCCCTTCCACGCAATAAGAGTTTTCTTGCTTCCTCCCCCTATGGTTACTCAAGTATAAATAGTCTCTTTCAATCTCTTAGATGTTTGTAGGAGATCTATATATATCTCACACTTTTTCATTTGTTTCAATGTCCTGGAATTTCAGTTTAAGCCCCAAAGCTGGTAATCACACCTTCTAAAGAGGGGCCTTACCACATTCAGAGCAGGATTGCTAAATTCAACAGTAGCAACACAGTAAACAGCAAAACAATCCAGGGGCCACCACTCCCAATTAGGTTGTTAAGTACCATCAAGTGGCTTCTGACTCATAGTGATCCTATATAAAGTTTCCAAGGAGCAGCTGGTGGGTTTGAATTATCAAACTTGTGGTCAGCTGTTCACTGCTTATCCTACAGAACCTCACCAGGACTCCAGCTATAGAGTTTGGAAATTTCCAATTCTTGGGAGTGAGAGAGGCTTGAATGTCATTCTCTCCCTACATTGTACTCACTGGCTCATGTTAGATGTCCAAGGAAACTCCTTAGAAAGACTGTGGGTTGCCTTCAAGAAATGGAATCTGGCTGCCATTCCTTGGCTGGAGTTTGCTGATTCAGAAGTTTGAGGGCTTGCCTAATACTTCAGATAGTACGTGAGTTTATGGAAGAGGTAATAAAGGGGGGTGTGTCAAAAACTTCATGGAAAATTCCATTCTCTTTTAATTTCATTTTCCATGAAGGTTTGAAGCCACCTTATATGTTTGAAGCCACCTTATATGTGTCTGCTGACACAGAAACAGAAGTGGTGCCCTCTCTCATCTGGGTCTGATAAAGGCTGGAGGTTGGTGGGAGCAGCCCACCATGGTAGGATGGGGGTCAGGAGCAGTGAGCATACCACCTTTGGACACTAGTTTTTTCATCAAGTGGACCTTACTTATTGCACTAGGGTGAGAAGACTCCTGCACTGCTGGCTGAACAGCCAACTACTGGAGCCAGGTGGCGATACCTAGAGGTTAGCGAGAGGAAACTACCACACTCAGAAGACTGGCAAGTATGCTCTGAGATAACTGGCCCACAGAAGGCACTGCCAGGCCAACTATAACCACCCAAGTTGCATAGCGTGTTTGCCTCTTTACTCTGAAGTCCCCATCCTCTGTCCAGAAGAACCACAGCAACAAGAGCATGAGAACAGACCTTGTCCACTCTGCCATTGCAGATGTAAACTGGATCTGGGATAGGGGTTGGTAGAAGCTATGAATTCCATGCAAGATTTGAATTTTAAATTGGGCTGGACTGTGTCTACTCATTGACCGCTGGTGTGGTGCTGTAGGATAAGCACTGGACTGCTAATCACAAGGTTGGCAGTTTAAACCCACCATCTGCTCTTGGAAACCCTATATAGGTTTGCCAAGAGTCAGAACTGACTCAATGGAACAACAACATCAACAACATATTATGTAGGAAATCCTGGTGTGCCACTGTAGGATAAGCACTGGACTGTTAATCACAAGGTTGGCAGTTGGAAACCACTAGACGTTCCTCAGAAACCCTATACAGGGTTGTTATGAGTTGGAACTGACTTAATGGCATTTAACAACTACAATAACTTATTATGTAGAACCATGGAGACATCTCCTAAAAGAAAGAACTGGAAGAATTCAGTGTGGAGACTTCTGAGAAGGGAACTGGGGCTGGGGTAGTGGGAGAGAGGTTATTTTCATCACAAACCTTTTGGTACTACTTGATTTTTAACCCTATGCATCTATTATATTAATAATATTAAAAAATATTTTAAGGTCAAGCCATGAAACTATTTCCCAGCTACTTGACAGTCATGTCATCTGGTGTGGCAAACCCATCATACTCATTTGGCCATTTCAATGACTGTCAAGGCATTCTGCAGAATTTGGAAGGTCTCCAAACCAATACATGTCCTCGTTCTTAACTGGTAACCCTACCTCCCCAAATCCATGCTCTCTATGTGTTAGAGTGAAGGGGTTCTAAGTCGGACAGGCTGGGTTCAAATTCCAGCTCCACCACTTTCTAGCTGTGTGACCTTGGGCAACACAGAACCATTTAGACTCTCTGAAGCTTCACTTTTCCCCTGCCTCACATCCCGCCCATAGTAAGGGACTAGCATAGCCCATCTTTTAAGGTTGTAAAGATGAAATATAATGTCAAGATTCAATATGATAATTTTCACAAACAGAACTACCTAACCCTAAACAAATGAGCACCCCACCTCTCACCTCTCTTCCTTCTCTGTTCCCCACCTGCCTACAGTTAGCAACACCCTCCCCATCTAACTCTTCCAAGGTTTGCTCCAGCAGTTGTCCCTCCCTAGTGTCAATCTCTCAGGTTCCTGATGGTGACGTCTTACCAGTTAAGACACTGCTCATTTTCTTGCCACTCATACATTCATTCATTCATTTATTAATTAATTGATTGATTTATTGCCATTCCCTTCTTGAAGCTCACCTCTTCACCCTTCTCCTTTTGACTATCTGGGCACATCTCATGAACCATCTTCATGTAGAGTTCCAGGGGACCTGCTCTGGAGTTCTTCTTATCTCATCCACGTACACTGTCTCTCAGGAGGCATCTTCCCCACTCTCACACTCTGTCTCCACGTTCCCCATCTCCAACCCAGCAGACCCATCTCTGTGCACATCCCACACTCACCAGATATAGGGAAGGACGGAGAATATGGGTGAACCACCCAGCAGGAACAGTATCCTCCAGTGGGGGATGCTGTAGGTAAGCCCCAGCAGGAACAGGATCCCCACAGTGTAATAGCAGTGTGACAAGATGATGACACGGACCCGGTCTTCACTCACTAGCCACTCAGTGACTGTACAAAGGGCAAGAGGACAAAACCACAATCAGCTCGGGCCCTCCTGAGATCTCATCAACCCTGCCCTGGGCAGCTCAGATGGGGCAAAGAATCTCCTGTCCTCTCATAATGTCCCAGGTCCAGAGAAAGACCCTCAAAGCTAGACATTGGTTGCTTTGTGCTTCCCTGGACATGCTTGAAGCCTGACCTCCCAATCACCCAGCAGTCCCTTATCAACCTGGGCTCCCACCTGACCACACGCCTCTCACAGAGAATGCCTGCTTTGGAGCATAATACCCCACACCTGGCCTGGCACCTGGCTTACGGCAAGGAGTCACTGTCCCCACCTTTGCTTGAACACATTAGTGCTACGGCAACCAAGGCCGAGGGCCCTGTGGAGACCCCAGTTCCCTCCTGAGGAGCTCTGGCAGCTCCCAATGAAGATGGGATTACCGCTTGAGCACCCTGAGAACACAGGGCCCTTGCAGTTCAAACGGTGAATGTTTTGGTCTCACACCCCAGCTCCTTCACATAATAGCTGGATAAGTTGTTAACTTCTCTGGTGTGCAAGTATCCTTCTAGGTTAAAGGAACAAGGAAATAGTGCCTAGTGAATAGAGTTCTGTCGAATGAAATGAAACAATGCATATAAAGGGCTTCACAGCTGTCTGGCCCATCCTAAAAACTCAATGTCAGCTGGGTGCTCAGGCACATTTGGCCGGAGAATGTGTGGGGTAGGAGGTGGTAGGATGGGGGCTGAGAGGGAAGGATCCGGCTGGTCATTGATACTGGCATATCTAGGGAGTTGGGAGTAGAGGTTCACTCCATGCGTACCATGTTGACTCCCCCACCCACCGTCGTGGGGGGACTCCATATAATAAGCCCGCCCCACCCTATGGAGTTCCGCCCCCTGGTGGCTGGAGCTCACCTAAAGCAATGCTGCTGATGCTGTATCCGGCCACTGCCTGGTAGACACAGAAACGGAAGAAGAGATAGACTTCTAAGCTGTTCACGAAGGCTGTCCCGAAGCCGAAGATCATCAGCCCCATCAGCGACAGCAGGATGGTGGGGTAGCGACCCAGCCTGCGGGCGTGGAAAGAGGCTGTGCAGGGCTTCCTTGGCTGCTCTCATTGGGGTCCCAGAACCAGTCCCTAAGCCTACCACATCCCCCAGCTTGAGATCGTCACCTCTCAATGCCCCCAGGAAGGTGGGGTGACCCAGGGACGAGTGAAAAGTCTAGGAGACTCACTTGTCACATATGATCCCAAAGACAACAGATCCTATCAGGAGGCCTGTCATGGACATAGTCAGCATAATGTCCCTGTTCAGTTCCTTGCCACACACCAGGTCAAACTGTGGGTTAAACATAGAAATTGTCCACAGGCTTCCACTTGGGGTCAGCTCTCTGAGTCCAGAGACAGAGCCTTCCCCTTTTGTTGTTGTTATTAACTGCCATGGCCTGTGTTCCAACTCACAGCGACCCTGTATAGGGTTTCCAAGGAGCAACTGGTGAGTTTGAACTGCCAACCTTGCTGTTCAAACCAACCTGTGGCTGAGTGCTTATCCTACAGTGCCACCTCAGAACTTAGAGTCAGTTGTTGTTGTTAAGTGCCTTCGAGTCTGTTCCTACTCACAGTGACCCTGCATAGGGTTTCTGATGACTAGCTGGTAGGTTTGAACTGTCGGCCTTGTGGTTTGCAATCCAGTGCTGATCTTGCAGCGGCACACCAGGAGTCCTCACCTATTACCTCTGCAGCTCACTGTGACCATGGCTGACCCAGGAAGCCAGGCTTGGAAACAGGACCCAGAGGTACAAGTCACATGGAATGGTGTGGGGAGGGAACTAAGCACAGGCAGGGTACACTGAGGACTAGCCCCTAAATACAGATGCTGGACCCCAACTTGGAGATTCTAATGGGACAGGTCTGTAGAGGGCCCCTGGTAGTGCAGCGGTTAAGTGCTCAGTTTCAAACTACAGGGTCACACTAACTCCTTCTAAGGAGAAAGTTTAGGCAGTCTGCTTCCCTAAAGATAACAGCCTTGGAAACCCTAGTTGTACTATTATTATAGGGCAGTTTTTAGTTTATTGGGTTTGTGGAGGACCCAGATTGCTGTTCAGGTAGAGAAACCGTTTGAAAGGCACTAGACTGAAGCAACTGCTTTCCCATTCTCTGTCTTCTGTGCGTTCAGTGTACACAACTGCAATACAGAAGTCATTCACTGGGAAGACAGCAAGCTTGCTATGCAATATCTACCCCTTGCTCCAAATCTACCTAGCTTCCTGGTGAGGCAGGGCTGGGCTGAGTGCTCTGGTGCTACCTCAGCAGGATGACCTTAGGCCAATTGCTTCCTCTCTCTAGACCTCAGTTTCCCCATGTGTTCAGGGAGGGTAGGGGTCACCTATCTGGGCTGCTGGGGTGGTACAGACAATTCAGAGCAAGGCATACCTCATCTACCAGCAGTCGCTTCTTGGACTTGGGATAGATGTACCCATCGTGGCATATCTCCGTACTGTTGAGGCCAAACTTGATGATGGAATCCAGATCCCAGTCCACAGGTGAGTACCTGAGGCATGTCAGGAACGTGCCATTGGATCCTCGGGGCACGGTTAGATTCAGCTGCTCAGCCTCTGACAAGTTGGGACCCACAGCCAGGATCCAGCTGGTGTTGCAATAGGCTATCTGGGCTGGGTACATGAAGGAGTCACCATACAAGAAGAAGCCCGACAGGATATTGGGGATGAAGGTGAGAGCCACCAGCCTCCGCTGGAATGTTCCAAACACTCCCACTGCAGCCAGGATGCTGGCAAGGTTGTCATCCTCCCTGGATTTGATGGCCCTCAGTCTGTGGAACAGCATCTCCATAGATCAGGAATGAGAATTCAAGATCCTGGAAGAACACTGGGATTCAAGTTGCTTTACCTTAGATTCGTTTTTCCTAGGCAGCTATTCAAAGAAAGGATGCACTCAGTCTAGTGACACAACTCCCTGGACAGCAGAGGTCAGCATGGGCACCACTGACCAGACATTAGCCTTTCTGCCTTGGAACACAAATGTCACTCTTATTGTTCTCAACTTGGATATTGGGTACCCAAAATGGGTGGGTGGGAGGCGACAAAGGCAAGAAGTGACTGGCTTACAAGCTTTCAAGGGAGAGCATATATCCAGGGGGTGCGGAGGAGGGTGGAATCTCTACTGAGTGGTGTCCAATCTGTCTGGGAGAGACTGATGAAAGGAGATGGGGATACGTCCCTTGTGGTACAATAGTGAATAATTGTTATCAGGACTGACTGTGAGGGTTGTAAATGTAAAGGTAGACATTTTGTAGCAAAAGGAGGAGAGTGATTGACTTTGCAGTCCAGGAGTAGAGATCCCTGGGCCCATTAAGGGCGAAGAGTGGAGTGCGGGACCCTATCCAGAGAAACAGTGATGCCATAGATGGAGGCAGAGACAATGACATAGAGAGATGGAGCATCTGGAGACATTAGACCCAGGGAGGGAGAGGGGCTGTATGCTGACAACAGGCAACCAGGGTGGGAGGGCTAGCTTGCAGGGTATACCCTTTAGTTGGTTGATGATGCATGGAGGGGACTGTAACCATGGCAATGAAATGATATACGATAGGATGAATGTAAAGCTAATATTCTCCCAAGTAAACGATCACATAATTCACAATAAAACACTAAAAAAAAAAAAACAACCCAAAACTTAAAGAGCACACACAAGCAACTGATTTAATGAAACTTGGAAAGACTAAGAAGGGAAATTATCTCAAAAGCACAGACTAGAATGCCACAATGATCAGAATAGTAAACATGTAAGCAAATCCAAATATTAACTTGTACTAATAATACAAACAAGTCTAATTTACAGTTAAAAGAAGATAACATGATGGCTAACAATAATATGTAAGTAAGGAGAAGGCAATTATAGCCAAAGTATATCAAAGTCTTTCTGTTTGTTCAGGATGGAAAGGAAAGTTACAATTCAGTTACATTTGTACATTACAGTTTTCAAGGATAACCACTATAATAATAGAAAACAGCAGTAGAAAAATCAGACTAAAGGGGAAAGCAAAAAACATCTCTATCTAAACAACACAACACCTTCATCCAGAAAGACACTCAGGTAAAGTAGACAATAAGAATTATAATGGGAGAAATGAATCAAGGGATGCTGATAATCACTTAAAGACATGGATGTTGTTGTTGTTGTTAAGTGCCGTCAAGTCGATTCCCACCCATAGCAACCCTGTACAGGGTTTCCGAGGCTGTAAATCTTTACGGGAACAGAAAGCCTCATCTTTCTCCCGCGGAACAGCTGGTAGTTTTGAACTACTGACCTTGCGGTTTGCAGCCCGATTTGTAACCACTACCTTAAAAGACATGGATAGATGGCTGGATTTAAATATTTTTAATCTGGCTTTTAAAAATAAGGTGACCAATATTTCCCAGAACATATCTGCTGTGTTAGTATAATTATTCATAGTGTCCCTTGCCTTCTCAAAAGTGCCTTAATTTGGATGACAATTCGGTAACTCTATAAGAAGACAAAGGGCTCTGGTAGCGTTAGTGGTTAAGAATTGGGCTGCGAACCTTAAGTTCAGCAGTTCAAAACTGCCAGCTGTTCCGTGGGGGAAAGATGAGGCTTTCTGTTCCCGTAAAGATTTACAGCCTCGGAAACCCTGCACAGGGTTACTATGAGTTGGAACTGACTCCATGGCACATAACCAACCAACCAACCAACCATAAGAAGACACACTTCAAGCATAAAGACATGAGCAAGCTGAGTTATTAAGCAAACAATCAAAACAAAGTTGGTGTAGCTATCCTGTGGTTAAGTGCCATCAAGTGGTTCTGACTCATAGTAACTTTGTAAAGGGTTCCCAAGGAGTGGCTAGTGCATTTGAATTGCTTCCCTTACCATACAGAGCTTATCCTACAGAGCCACACCGCTAAGTGGGCATTAAGACAAAACATCATTTGGAAGAAAAAAAAAAAAGGTAGATATGCACTCACACCAAATTATTAATTCTCTCTCTCTCTATATATATATTATTAAATGCCGTTGAGTTGCTTCTAATACATTTGTTGTTGTTGTTGTTATGTGACGTGGAGTCGGTTCCTACTCCGAGGCTGTAAATCTTTATGGAAGCAGAAAGCCTCACCTTTCTCCCACAGAACAGCTGGTAGTTTCGAACTGTTGACCCTGAGGTTAGCAGCCTGATTCGTAACCACGAAACTACCAGAGCTCCACTCATAGTGACCCTGTATAGGAACAGCTGGTGAGTTTGAACCGCCGGCCTGGTGGTTATCATCCTAGGATGCCACCTAAATAAATGTCTTTAATCTATGGAACAACAATGGATAGCCCTAACAGGACAATTCACAGCCCTAGTATCCTTAGAAATTTCAGTGTACTTCTATTTTCAATAGGTCAAAGGCATAAAAACTTAGCAAAAAGTAGATTACTTGAATAACACAATGAAGCTGTACCTAAGAATCATTTACAAAATTTTGCATCAAATAATTAAAGGAAACACATTTTTCTCAAGCCTACTTGGAGCATTTGTAAAACTCTGTCATATAATAGGGAGTATGGTGAACTCCTGGTGTGGTGCTATAAGATCAGTACTGGACTTCGGCAACCCAATCTACCAGCTGCTCCTTGGAAATGCTACACAGGGCTGCTACCAGTTGGAACTGACTCCATGGCATTTAACAAGGAAGTGCAGTGGCTGCATATGATAAACACTGGACTACAGATTACAAGGTCAGCAGCTAGAGTCCCCAGAAGTTCCACAAGAGAAAGATAAGACTTTCTGCTCCTGAAAAGATTTAGAACCTTGAAAACCCTATACAGCACGGGTGAGGAATGTTCAGCCCTCAGGCTGTATAAAACCCAGGAAATGATTTGGTCTGGCCCTGCCAAGGCAATCACAGTTCAAGCCAGCACATTATGTTGTTGTTGTTAGGTGCCATCAATTCGGTACCGACTTGTAGTGACCTTACGCACAGCAGAACGAAACACTGCCTGATCCTGGGCCAACCTCACTAAAGTTGCCACACTTGAGTCCATCAATGCTGCCACTTGGCCAGTTCATCTCATTGGGGTCTTCCTCTTTTTCTCCGATCCTCCACCTTACCAAACATGATATCCTTTTCCAGCGACTGGTCCATCCTGACAATATGAGTCGGTACCAACTGGAGGGCACCTAACAACAACAATGGATGTGACAGTGCATTGGGCAAATCTCCTACAAAAGACCTTGTGTAGAGTACTGAAGAGCAAAGATGTCACTTTGAAGACTAAGGTGCACCTGACCCATGCCATGGTATGATCAATTGCCTTACATGCACATGAAAGTTGTTCAATGAATAAGGAAGACAGAGAAACTGATGCATTTGAGTTATGGCGTTGGCAAAGAATATTGAATATCCACAGACTACTAGGGAACAAACAAATCTGTGTTGGAAAAGGTACAGCCAGAATGCTCCTTAAAAGCGAGGATGCCGAGACTTGTCTCTTGTACTTTGGACATGTTATCAGGAGGGACCGGTCCCTGGAAAAGAACATCATGGTTGGTAGAGCTGAGTTGGTAAAAGGAATGAAAATGGAATGACACATTGGTTGCAACCATGTCAAACCTAACAATTGTGAGGACGGTGCAGGATATGGCAGCGTTTTGTTCTGTTGAATACGAGGCCTGTTGTACTAAGAGCTGGAACTGACTGGAAGGCAGCTAACAACAGCGGGTGTGACATTAAGCATCTTTTCATGTGCTTGTAGGCCATATAGCTTCTTTAGAGAAATGTTTGTTTTTAAAATTAGGTTACTTTTTATTGTTGAAGTAAGATTCCTTACACATTCTGGATATGCAACCCTTATCAAATACATGGTGTTGCTGTTTTGTGCCATTGAATCACTTCTGACTCAAAGCAACCCTGTATAGCATTTCTGAGAGAGGCTGTTGTTGTTGTTAAGTGCCTTCGAGTCGGTTCCGACCCATAGCGACCCTGTACAGGTGGGTTTAAATTTCTGACCTTGTGGTTAACAGTGCAGCGCTGATCCTACAGTGCCACACCAGGGTTTACTCCCATTCTGTAGGTTTACTCCCATTCTGTACGTTGCCTCTTTGTTGCTAAGGTCTTTTGATGCACAAAAAGTTCTTCATTTTGATGATGTGAGGTGTCATATTTAAGAATCCACTGTTTAAAACTAGGTCCCAAAGTATGACCTCTCTTTTTTTTTAAGAGTTTTATGCAATTTCTCTTTTTTATTCTTTGTCAGTACCACTGGGAGTTTGTTGATTTCAATGATCTTTTCCAAGAATCATTGTGGTTTTTTTATTCTATTGTTTTTCTCTTCTCTACTTATCTCAGGTCTAATCTTTGCTAGCCTTTCCTTCTGGTAGGATGCTTTGGGCTCAGTTTGCTCTTCATCTGCTATTTCTTCAAGCTGTAAAGTTATTGAGATATTTCTGTATTTTACTGTACCCATATCCCCCCCTAAGCACTGCCTTCATTTGTTTTATTACATAAGGTTTGGTTTATAGTGTTTTCATTTTTACTCATTTCTAAGTATTTCCTGATTGACCATTTGATTTCTTCTTTGGCCCATTGAATCACTCTCGTTTCATTTTAGATATGTTTAACTTGGTAAGATATGAACAGACTGTCTTCCAACGGGACAGTGACATTTTGCATTTCCACCAGCAATGAAATTTCCTGTTGTTCTGCATCCCCATTAGTAATTGGTATTGTCAGATAATTGGATTTCAGCCATTCTCATAAAGGAGTAATGGTATATCATTGTTTTCAATTGCAATTCTCCAGCGACAATCTTGGGGCATGATGTAGCTCGGTAGCTTCGTCTCTTGTACTTCAGACATAATATCAGGAGGGACCAGTCCCTGGAGAAGGATATCATGCTTGATAGAGTGGAGG